GTTCTAAACTTCCAATTATCGACAAAAAACTTGTATCTAGTAGACCTAGGATCTTGATTTTTTTTATTGGTCAATTAATTGTTACTTGCATTGCAAAGCTAAACCTTTTTTTTTCTCAAAAACGTATGTTCCTAGCGACTATGAAGGATGTTTAATAGAGCCACCTATAAAACATGGCAAAATACTAATCAAATTTGAAACCTACATGACGATAAACTCCGGCAGACCGAATTCAGTCCAAATGAGCCAGAAAATATTGGGGATTATAATGAGAGAGAACGAAGACGGAAAATTTATAGTTTCAGCTTTCTGTATCGTTTTCACAATAGACAACTTGCAATTGCATGAAAATTACATTTTTTCGATTCTCGATCGCACTAAATGACGTTACAAATTAGCGAGGCAGCAAACACCTGTTTAAAACATTTATGCCGCGCTATTAGTTAACAACCTCTAAGAGATTATATATCACTTCTAGGCATTAAAAGAAGTGTATGCAAATTGTCCATAGCCAAATTGGAAAAAATATATTTCACGTTAAAGACCAATAAATAAAAAAGTCTTAGTTACAAAGCCAATTTGATTGTCAATAATTAAGCAGAAACATCAACATAACGATTCAAGATAGTAAGTTTAATTGTAGGCGTAGGTAAAAAAGTATAGAAGACAATGGGTAATAGAACATTTCTTTGCTACATTCGTGCTTTTTATCAATTCAAAATTGCACAAAAAAGTATTGGCATCGGATAAAAATCCGTGTAAAGACAACACCTAAATAAAAAAGGGCATAATCTACTTTTTTCAGAACACCCTGTGCAGCAGACGATAATATAATCTTAATTCGTACGCCCACCTCAAAATTATCATGGGTAAAATGCCAGCTGAAACATCTGCATCACTGTTTCACCTTTTCCTCCGACTTTGGAGGCAAATATTGTGCCATTGAAAATAAGAGTGTCTTAAATCAGTGGCGGCTCTTGACTTCTATACCAGAGAGGGCGAAGAACTATAGGTACAAAGTATTGAAAAAAACCCTCAAATATAATAGGGTAGTTTTATTTTAAGTACTTTTGAAATATAGGAAAAGTATACTTAACATTATTTTTTATAGTGAAAGTCCATTCTTCTGCTTTTGTGCTTATGTCCTAAATAAACTTTTCAATTAGGTACGTACTTTTTCATTAAAGTTTGGTAGGTATATCTCGCACCAATGATTTTTGCAAGTCCTACAATCAATTCAAATATTTTTTAAACAAGAAAAAATGTGTAAGTAACAACATTTTACACTTCACGTAAACAAGTTATGTTTGATAAGAAAAAAAAATGCGTAAGGCTAGTTTCGCGAGTGAAGTCGTTTGTTGTAGTATGTGTAGTATGAGTGTATGAAGAGATTTAAACTATCATATGATAACTAAGATCAAGAGAGATAGAAATAGTAGCTACAAATCATATATTCACCAATATTCAATAGCGAAAAAAAGCCTATAGTAAATATGCGCTGCTCCCACTCCGTCTTTCACTGCTGCGCGATGGTAACCATGACCACCACTGTAAACACTTTACAGATGTAGGAGCGTATACGCGGAGCCCACGTATTTAGAGTATTTCAGACGAATTTTGCAAGTCGAGTTAAATTGACTGCACGTTACAAATTTAACAATTCCTTTTTAATGTGTTTAATAAGGCTAATCTATTTATTTATTCAGATAACATTGTAAGCTAAATTTTAAATTAATTTCTTTTATTATGAAAATTTCTAGGGGAGGCGCTGCCCCAGAGCCCCCCGCAGCAGCCGCCACTGAATTTAAATCCTCCTAAATCCATTTCTGGTATCTATTTTAAGCTATATTTTGAAGGCAAGAGACGTTTTTCTTGATTTTTTTTCATGCGGCGTGAAACCAGTCTGTTTTAGAAACAAGTTAGGCCAAATTTGAATCTTTTGTACAAGATTTACTGGGTTGCATTTGTGCCACCAAAAAGTAATTTTTATAACATACATCAGATATGTAGGTACTACATATATTGAATCTACATATTAGATAGTTGTTTATCGATTAAAATCGATTAAAATTAAAATAAAATAGAAAAATCAAAACTGAAAAAGAGAAAGACACCTATAAATTCATATACAATAAAATTGAAATTGCCTTTGACACTGAATGAGAAAAAGCGTTGCCATTTCAAATCAATGTATAGATATCGGAGCCAGGACAATTCAATTATAATCTGATATATCACTTTCTGTTTTTATTCGATCCAAAGTCCTATCAAAGCGTGTCCCTGGAGGAGAACCGACTGTATACTGCCTTCAAACGAAAATAGTTTTATCAATGAGATCGTAAACCTCAGGGAAAGACACTACATTATGTAGGGTACAAAAAATATCTGTAGATATAATACGAAGGAAAGTTAAGTGAAATTCTACCATATTTACGTCTATGGAACAAGAGCACTTTTTTTTTGTTCAAAATTGATTATTGAATACGACAAATTATTATGTGGGATACAATTCACTCCTTGAAGAATTTCAAAGGTGCTATTTTTTTTTAATTTAACACTCCGTACCTATATGACTTGATAAAATGCACGATCACGATGAAACATCCTGTATGCGTTAAAATTAGCAGGATGCCGTATAATATTAACGAAAGCTAAATCACTACATTTTTAAAACCAAATTTCTACACAAGCATTAGGTATCTACTGAAAAACTCACAAATATGAAATACATATGTACAAAATTTTTGCCATCCTTCTATTTTCCCTTCTTTAATTTTTATTTGATATGTCTGAAATAAGATTATTGAGCTAAATCATATCAAGTGCCCTAAATAAGTCCTGAAAATTTCATTAAGATATTTCTAATAGTTTTTACACAATAAATTTTTTATTTAGTCCCGAAAGTGTTTATTGCAAAAAATGATGTTAAAATGAAAATTTTGAGAAACGATTTTAAGGTATGATTGTTGGTAATCACTACTTTTGATTAAAATATATGAACTCAATTTCCATGAGCAAGTGGAAAATGGGGGTACACTTGTGATTTGATTCACCTACCAGGTGATTGATGGGTTGTTTATACACCAAGAGGCAACTATAATAGATATTTTAAAATATTAAGTAGGTATGTTATGAAAATGTACTAAATGGGGTCTTCGTGGCTTGAAGCCCTGCGTGTCGACTTAACAATCTAGAGATTCGCGGTTCGATATGGGTATAGTTTTTTTCTATCACGCGAGCTCGCTATGGGACCTATAGTGTAGGGGGTTAGGTGCACTGGAAAGTGCTAGATAGTACAACAGCGTGATGTTATTTTCATAGCGCAACGCTGGAGCGTTGCGCTATGAAAATAACATCACGCAGTTGTACTATCTAGCACTTTCCGTGCATTTAACCCCCTACACTATAGGTCCCATAACGACTCGCACTTGTGATAGAAAATAGTATGTGCAACTCGTTCGAAAAAGTTGCCATAGCGCCACTTGGACGCTTTCCGCACTCGCTTCGCTCGTGCATCAACTGCGTCCGCGTGGCGCTATTGGCAACTTTTCCCCACTCGTTACACAATGTACTATTTTCACCTAATAGGTATTTATTTCAAATTCAATTTCTCACCGTCCACTATTCAGTGGTGATTTTTTCCATGGGATTTTTGTATGAACTGAAGACGATACTTGACGATTCGAAAGATGGATATGCGTAATTCTTTTTTTTTATTTTGTTCGTTTTATGGTTCTGGACAAGTTTCCAGGAGAAAAAATTCGGGACAATTACAAACGAGTCAGAAAATTCGAAAAAAATGCAAAAATTGTAATTTTTATATGCACTCTCGTTCATAACGGATTAGAGGAACAACATATTTACTTTGTTTACACATTTCCAATAGCTTTTCGTAAATTCGCAAATCACAAACTTTACTGAAATTTGGACAGGACAATGTCAATTGGGTATAAAATATAGAAGATACGTAAGAACGTAAGTTAAGCGAAATTCATTTGAATTAAAACATGTTATTTTTGTATGAAAGTAAACTAGATTCCACCGCACAAGAATATCATCAGATTCGTGTCCAGCACCATCAAAAACAGGGCTAGGCAGAATTTTATGCATTTTTGAGTTTTACGTTACAGAAGAATAGACTCAATATGTGACGTCACATATTTAGGCAACCCGCAACAATTTGTCATAGTTTCAATTGTACAGACCGAATCTGACCCTTGTGTACTATTTACATAGATACTAGAAAAATGAACATCAAATTAATTTATTTTTACAAAGATTTGGAACCAACATGTTTCGTAAAATAGATACATGTGCTTAAAACTTACAAAAAACTATATAAAAGAATATTTGTAAATTTAAATAAAGTAAAAATTTAACATTAACCGTGTTATTCTTAATGGTTATGCTCGGAAAGAATAGCCTCATGGTGAGCTCTTGTTGATATGTTATCGCTGTCATCATTGGCGTATTTTCCCTTGTTGTATTTAATATTAGCATTTTCTAGTTCTACTAATTGTTTCTCTTGGTGTTGTACTGTGTCAGTGGGTTTATCGAGTGTTTTTTTCTTCAAGTGGCTTATTATAGACGTACTCTTAACCATAACCAAACTTTTCTTCAATGATATCCTGTTGCGAGGGTACTTCGCTTACATGAAATTTTCTTTAATGCGCATGCTCAGTAACATTGATATAATTTTAATTTATTAATTACTATAAAAGTCAATATTGTTCTATAAATTTAAATATATACATTCTATAATTCTATTAGTTTGTTACCTGGGGTTTGAAACTTCTTAAATACTTTTAATATTGCTAGAATATCGCAGTATTTAAGGTCATGACGAAGAAACCATTTTTTTTAGGCATAAGGTCGAAAATCGATCTAATAAAAATACATATTGAGAAATTCTTCATGACAATATGCACTTTGGCGTATGTGACGTCACTACTAAGAAGGTCTATTTGTAACTGTTTATATTTTTGCTTCAGAAATTCATGATGAAGAAGCCGTACACCTGGTTGTTCATTTCGATATGGTTCGTCGTTCAAAAACGTGCCATATGCTCATCGCAATTGGTAGAAGATGTCAAATACTACAATGTAGGGGTACTTATGGTGTCGCACCTAAACTCACCTTTCGATTTAGAGAGATGCGGCCCTGCTGTCGACATGGCTTTGGAGAAGATCAACGAGAAATACCTCGCAAAGCACAAGATTGTACTCAGAAAGGTGCAAGGAAGGTAAGTGAACTCTTATTTTGTATGTTATATTTCATTATTGCATTAGAAAACCGTAAGCTTTCAATTTAAGTGATCTACATACTCAGTTAAAGTTAATGATAACTAAAACGAAAGTCTTTACTAGTTTTAACCCAACTTACTGAACTCAATTTGAATATTAATATTAAAAATATTTTTCCTGTCGCTGGAACAATTACAACTGATTTGCTTTGGAGTCGAATGGTAATTCAGCATTCAAGATTTTATGAAGTCTCGAGGATGCTAATCTGGCTTTTATTTCCAGCGTCGCAAAAAATAAATGGTTATCTCTCATTTAGCGCACAGAGGCGTAGTCATTACGGAGCGTTGGAAAAACACTTAATGGCACGAAACGCGCAAACAGTTGATCTGAAATTCAATTCGGCTTGGAAGACAATTGTGTGAATATTTCTATGAATATTTAACAGTCTGCAGCATTGTATTACTAGTTAGATTATCACGTTGGAGATAAATAGAACGAGATACCTATACCAGTTCTTTAAAAAATGCTTGTAGAGAAGACTTTACAGTTCTGTCTTGTCATACTTTTGTCACAGTATATCCCTTGTTTCAAGTAAGTAATAAATATTTCTATTTTGTTTGCGAAATTTTCGGATTGCCCATAAGTATTCAACTTCAACAAACAATTAATCTCGCCCTTGTCGCGACAAGAAAGGGATTTCTGCTTTGCTTTTCTCAGCAAACATATAATTCATTTTGGATTTTCCAACATTTGTTTCTGTTAATCGGTCATTGATAAGTCTTCATTTTCTGTAGAAAACTAATAAAATTAGCTACATCTAGTATGAATTAAACCAGTGCACATTTTTATGAATATGTATTTCTTTTTTCTATTTCTAGTCTACTTGGAGATAATTTTGGACCAGTGCCATTTTCAATTTTCCTTTTATTTGAAGTATAAACCGAGTATTGTTGTCACCGCCGTTCTTGGGGGTGAAAATTCGATATATTTGATGGTATTATTCAATTTTCGTGGCTGAAAACAAACATGGTATTGAATTATCGAAACCGAGAGAGATGCACTAACCAAATTTGGACAAGACATAGCTACTACAATGCGAAACATCGCCTTATGGTTAAAAATGTTGTCATCGCCGTTCTTGGTGGTGAAATTTGGAAATATTTGAAATTATTCAATTTTCGTGGCTGAAAACATAGATAGGTATTGAATTTTCGAAACCGAGAGAATTGCACTAACCAAATTAGGATATAAAGTAACTAATACAATTGAAAATATCGCCTTACTGTTAAAAAAGGTGTCACCACCGTTATTTGTAGTGGCGGAGGGAAATGCACTAACCACATTTTGACCAAAAATGTAAACAAAAAGGAAACGTCGCTAATAATGGATATATGATATCGGTCAGTAGCAGCACGGTAAGGCGTCAGTGCTTAAATCGATGTGTGCTAATTCTGCCCGGGTTCGATTCCCGCGGCCGGTAGACCGTAGATTAGCTATGCTTGTACGGAGGATTAGCACCCTCTGTGCAGGTATGGTAGGGTGGAAGTATGTTGACTTGTGTCAATGTGAGAGATTGACACCGGTTGGCATTTGACCGCCTCCCTAATTAATGAGGTTTTCCAGGTTTCCCTCATTCCTGCACTGAATGGTGGTTAGGGCCTGCCAACATAAGTCGTTCCTGGGCGCAAATGCGGCCTGCTTAATAATAATAATATGCCGCCTCCTCTCTCGCACAAGTCTCCGACTTCTAGGCTAATTATCGTGGTTAGAATGAGGGGTAGAAATATTATGTATTATTATGATGAATTCTTCATATTATCGGACTAATGAAATTAACTGCTAAATTTTTTTTATCAGGTAATAAACTTCTCTGAATTTACCCAGATACCCTCTGATACGATTTAGTACCACTTAAATCTTTATTATCTATTTCGTTCCCTGTGTAAAAAGTTACATTTTAATTGTAAATCTACCTTCGTGCTGTTTAAATTAAATTATTCTTTTAAACGTGATTTGCCTAAATCCAGTTAGGAACTTTTCAGACAGCTTCAATTTTAACTTGTTCGGAATCAAAAAGTGTGTCGGTTTCGATGTAAAAAAATATGCATGAAATTATACGTTGCCCTGTTTCTGTATGGACAGTATGTTGATCTGAGCCCACCATTGCTGCTGTGACCTTAGCCGGGATCAATAATTTCTATTTTTTAGGTTGATTTTAAAAGTTTTCGCAAGAGAATTCTTGCCAGGCCTCCTCGAACTCCATTAACAAATTACTCTTAAGTGTTACTTTAAATGTAAATGTACAGTTTTTATATATTCTCTCCCATTAGGCCTCGTCAAAGCAGTTTTTTGTACCACAATTTTTGGGTAATGTGTTAATCACGGGTTTGGAAACTTCTATATTAAAAAAAAAAAACGCTGGTTTCTTAAACATCTATCTACTTCAGTGGAGTTTGTTGATTTGTTTAAGTAAAAATAATGATTTCCTCGTTAAACTGAGAGATAGAAACCGTAGAATACATTTTTTTAGTTTTTTTAAACATAAATAGATGATTATTGTAAACTTCAGTACAATTTTTTAGGCAAAATGAAAAATAAAGAAAATAAAAAAACACAATAGGAATATACATAATTAGATAATTAGAAACATACAGGGTGTTCACAAACTTAGAGCGTAAATAATCGAGTGTGAACACTATATTGACAAAAATATTTTTTACAAATGGAACATATTTTTTTAGTATCCACTGACACTATAATAATATGAAGAAAAATTTTTGGAACCGTTAACTGAATTGAGAGCTCAGTTGCCTTTGCTTGCTCTGTAATAAAAACTAAAGCAGACCTGATGATATTCTAAAACTGAACTGGCAATATTTATGTTTACCTACTACAAAAAAACGAGACAAAAAGTGAACGGTGCTCTCTATGGTCACTTATTTTTATATAAAGGACGATTGCAGCATACTATACATTTCCGACATCAAATGAGAAAAAGATATAAAATATTTTAAAATGCCGAAATATCAGCAACTGTTTCATGCTTATATTATCCGGAAAAAATAAAAGGGCAAGATGTTGTTATGGAGATAATCCTAGCTTACTTCTTATCCCTGAAGAATATATTGGAACGAATATTTCCCATTAATACATTTGAATAACCTTTGATTTATTTTGCCTCCTTTGTACATAAAATGCGACCCGTGATAAAATATAGTGATTTGGATTTAAAAATTAAATTAAAAAAAGGAATGAGGGGACACCCGGGTTTGAACCGGGGACCTCTCGATCTGCAGTCGAATGCTCTACCACTGAGCTATATCCCCACTGTACTTGTGTTATTAGTAAAAGTATATAAGCGACTGGGATATAATATTATAAATTAAATATATTTGTTATAATGCATATAATTAATTCAGTTTGTGACTAAGCACATAGAATTTTTTTAAATAAATTATAGACAATAAATACTACATGTCTACTTTAAGGTTACTAATATTAAATCTCAGTAAACAATTTTTCCATGTAAAAGGCCATCTATATAAGCCATTACAATGATAGACGCCAATTTATTTTCGGTACACCTGCGTATATTTTGACGTACAATTTGATGGAAAATAAAATTCCAAAGTTCCAAAGTTTTCTGCATAACATATAAAAATGTCGATTTAAAAGAACTCAAATAAGTTCGTTGTCTAATTCGAGAACTAGTAATTTTATTTTAAGTACACATGTATATGTATCTCGATATACAGCGTGGTAAAAAAGTTCTGTATAAAATTCATATTTTCGTTAAACAATTTTTTTTTCGAAAAACGATGAGACCCGTCGATTTTTATTTGATCCAGGGCACCTTGTTATGTGGAAAAAATTTTTTTTCGATAATCCACTTACGGCAGCGATGACATAATTTTTTTTTTAAATAACGCATATTTTTTTCGTTCGAAATTGATGACAGTGATAACTATCTAAACAACGGTGTGACAATTTCGATGTCTTACATAACAATTTTTTTAGAAAAATGCACCTTAAGTTCTCGAATGCAATAATTTGCTGTTTACGGATCAAATGCCTTAGAAAAAAATTTATTCGGCAGAAAGCATTTCAAATAACTTAAGTTGCAACTGGTGTTATGTAATTATTTGCGGAATTATTATATTGTCAGGATCCTGATTAAACTGCAAAATTTAGAACCAAGTTCAACCGCACAAAATCCAAATAGTATGTAGCAAATTAAGGTCGACTTTTTGTCTTCGAGTTTGCCGATAAATTCCCCAAAAAAAAAAGATCCAAAGAAATGTTTACTTGAAAGGAGTAGATTACCTGAAATATTGAAGACTAAAAATCAGTACCGATTTAACATTCTTTGGTGAAATCGTTTAATTCGAAATGGCAAAACTTAGTGAACGCGAAAGAATTGATATTTTGAGGATGATTGGTTTCGGCGATAAGTTACGAACCCATCAAGAAGCTTGCCAATTATTTAATGCAACGTACCCTGACAGACCACCAATTACGCAATCTACGGTTAGTAGGGTACTGGCAAGGTTTGAGGAAACTGGTAGTGTGAAAGATGCTCCTCGTGCGGGTCGTCCTAGAGTAGATGATGAAACTAGATTGAATATCCTGGTGGAGCTCCAGGACAACCCTCATTCTAGTACAAGGTCGATTGCATTGAACAATGATATTTCACATGTAACTGTGGTGAACTTTCTCAAAAAAGAGAAATTTCACCCCTATAAGGGTCACTTGATACATGCATTGACTGAGGACGACCCAGACCGCCGTCTCCACTTTTGTGAAGATTTAATGCATCGATGTAACGGAGACCCCGACTTCCTCAAGAACATAATTTTTTCTGACGAGGCTACTTTTTATCTTAATGGATCGGTGCATCGACATAACTGCCGGTATTGGTCTCAGGAAAACCCGCACTGGGTGCAAGAAGTAGATCATCAGCACCCCCGAAAGGTGAACGTTTGGGCGGGAATAATAGGGCGTCGTATTTTAGGCCCGTATTTTTTCGAGGAAAATTTAACTGCTGCTCGCTATTTGGATTTCCTGCGGTTCGATTTGGTCCCAAGCTTAGCAGAGTTATTCCCGAACAACGAGGATCCTGATATTCCTGAGGAAAGAATTTGGTTTCAGCAGGATGGTGCACCGCCCCATTATGGAGTGCAAGTACGGGAGTACTTGAATAACACGTTTACTGGCCGGTGGATCGGGCGACGCGGAACAATCGAGTGGCCTCCGCGTTCGCCTGATTTAACACCTCTAGAATTTTTTTTGTGGGGCTATTTGAAATCGCGTGTGTACACAAACAGACCAGGTGATTTGGAAGAACTTAAAAACCGTATTCGTTTTGAAATAAATCAAATCGACCCGGGAATGCTTGAACGAAGTGTAGACGGCGTTTACACACGCTTAGGACAATGCCAAATGGTACAGGGTGGGCAATTCGAACAATTTCGCTAGACTTACACAAACATTAGTGTAATTTTACTCGTTTGAAATGTAATTTTGTCAACTTTGTCCTTTTCGGAGCCATTAATAGTGTAAGTAGACAATTATCACTTATAAGAACTTAAGGTGCATTTTTCTAAAAAAAATTGTTATGTAAGACATCGAAATTTTCACACCGTTGTTTAGATAATTATCACTGTCATCAATTTCGAACGAAAAAAATATGCGTTGTCATTTAAAAAAATATATATGTCATCGCTGCCGTAAGTGGATTATCGAAAAAAAAAAATTTCCACATAACAAGGTGCCCTGGATCAAATAAAAATCGACGGATCTTAGTTTTTCAAAAAAAAATTGTTTAACGAAAATATGAATTTTATGCAGAACTTTTTTACCACGCTGTATATGTATATATGTGTGTATGTACAAATATATAAATTTAGAGAAATAGAGATTAGTTTTTTAAATCAAAATACCTCGCTTCGAATGTATGCAACACATTTCAAATTAAACAGAATATCAATTAATATTATATTTTCCAATCGCGCTGGTTGAACTAATTCCAATCATCAACATGCAGCAACATCAACATGCAGGTCTTTCCCTGTCCCTGCATGTCTATATGAATTATCCCATGGATTAACTGGGTGCTAATGAAAGGCTTCGGGGACTAATTTAAGCCTATTCACAGTATGTCTTGCCTGCAATGTATAATTTGCGAACGTTGGAGGACAGATGCGGTTCGTGTTAACTTCAAAATTCATAATAGGTATTTTTATAAACTGCAGGGTCGTAGTTAAGGTGAAAATTGAAAAGTTTTAGGTTTTAGGTGTTTGATCAGGTCATATATATATTTTTTAACAGAGATGGAATTAAAAGAGAATAACGTCAACGTATACAAATTAACCAATAACGAGGGTCGACGTTTTGAAGGTTCAGATACCAGATTGTTCCTAAAATATCTGTGACAATTTTATTCATCAGTCAAATTTGAGTTTTGAACCAGTTGCATTTGTATATAAACACATACAAAAGCACAAAAGTTCGCAAACAATTTTTATACAGGTTTTTACATGTTTTTGTATTTTGCGATCAAAAACATGTAAATTTGGTGGGGCTTTAACATCGCTTTAACTTTTTTCCAGTTACCCATCTTGTAACGGAGCGCTGGCACCCGGGTTAGCAGCCGATATGCACTTCATTTCTGACGTGATCGCCTTTATTGGCCCGGCTTGCCTTTTTGCTTTGGAACCCGTTGCTCGACTGGCAGCTTACTGGAACACCCCCATTATCACCGGAATGGGAGACCAGGCAAGTATTAAAATGTTTAATCCTGAAGCAAATACTGCAAAATATCACATTTTTAGCCCCCATCTGAAGGGGAATTGTCGGTAGCGTCTAGGATTCTAGGCAGATACACACCGAATAACAAAAATGACTCGGCGGTAAGTTTTATACATAGAATTTGTTGCTGTGGTTCAGGATGAGGAAGAATGTTGTCAATATCTAAAACGCGCTGGGGCACCGTAAAAAACGATCTAGGGTCTGCTAACTCTCTATTTGGATTTTTTGGATTGCAGTATAATACAAAAGGGATAAATATGATTTAAGACGATAAGTAATAAAGACCTTGAGCAAGTCAACCATATCTAAAAGGAGTAGATTTTTCTTTGTTCTATAGGTATATGAACACGGAGAGATTTTTCTTTGCATCTTTACCATAATAGATAGAACGTACGTTGTATAAAAGGTTTTTGTTATTCTTATCTATCCTCTTACACTTATTTATTTTGTTTTGGAACGAGCAAAGATCTTTACGATGTCAAATTATGACAATATATGTGAAAACAAACCGTTTTTATGCGTCTGGATCACGTAGATTCTCGCTACAATCTCCCCCGGAGACGACTGAACAGACATTTTAAAAAGTTACTGCAGCAGATATTGATACATCAACAAACATTATGTTGAAATAGTGCCTTAATATCGTAATATTATCCTTGAACATAAACACGTATTGACTCAGGCGACATGTCGTAAATTTAACACCATTTCATTAAAAAAATATTAAATTTATTTGAAAAAAATACTTATTCGATTACTAAAATCGAAAAAAGTTTGGGAAGCGCCGATATCACTTCTTGTTAATTGTAAAAGGCTTCACAGAGTTGACAATATAAAACGAACTAGAATTTAGTTACTTTTAGGTTTAAATTTAGTTGGTGTAAATTGATAATTTGTCAACAATGAAGTTTCTCTTAGAGGTAAACTAATGCGAATAATTTAAATGCGTTCTGTTTGTTTACTTTTAAATAATTTACGGAAATATTACAGAAAATTAGAACTTGATGTATTTCTGCCATTAGATATATTTTATCTTTATCATTAAAAGAATAATCACCACTTAGATATAAACTGACTTCAGTAAGATACCTATATTATGTTAGCAACGCAGCGAAGTCTACTCGTAGTTGGAATTAGTGACAGTATCTTCTTGCAAAAGTACCCTCGATTTGAAATCTATTTTCGCAACAATTGAGATGATTTAATTAAAGGCGCATTGATCGATGCAGTAATCAAAGTTAATACCGGCTCCAAGTACGTACAATCTGGGTAAGAGGATTGAGGCTCTACGTAATGAGTTCAGATTTAATGGTGCGTTCGAATGTAGCCGGGAATAAGGTTAGGATTTGATTGTCTTATGTCGTGACAGCGGTCCGGATTGTTTGGAACTGCGCCTCGTCGTAATTGCCACTGGCAGAGGTAATAAAAGTAATGAGGAATGTGTCACAGAATTAATTAGCGCTGTAAACGAGAAATACTAAAGCTTTATGATAAGATTAGGAAAGCGCTCATCGAAATTATGCCAGTAGGTATAGTTATCAATTTTTTAAAAATAGTTACAGTGTTAATACCACTAATCACTATAATTTATTATGGTTTCTGTTATGGTTATGACAGCATACGTTTATCTGTGTGTATTATTCATAACGGAAAGTAGGGCTAAAAAAGTTTGGGAACCGCTGTGTTACGCGACTAGGTAGGTATAGTCTATCTATCCTATTCTAATTTACTCAGGCTTATATGTACAATTTTCTTAATTTTATTATTCTTGCAAAAGGTTGCAAATTTATTAAAAGCGTGTGAAAATATTCGTCTTCTGAAATTTTAAGGTTTCATCAAATTTATAAAAAATATTGCGGGCGTTTTACTAGAGGTAATAAATACCAGTTTGTAAGTAATTTAAACTTTTTTACTGAAATATTATGCCTACCTGAGAATAAGACGCAAGAAAGAATGAAAAGAACGTTAACAATAATTAAAAATATTTTACATGGCTTCTTTAACACAAAATTAATTTAGGGATATAATTTATCATCCTACTCATAATATATTAATACATTTATATAAATAATTAAGTTGCACTCGTACAAATATTTAAGATTATCGATTTTAAAAAAATATATTTTATTAGCTCTGGCATCCTAACTTTATAAAGGTATGGAACTGATCAAAATAAATTTGTTTCTAAAAAATTCTAAAAAGTCATAGGTACCTACAATAATGTTCTTCGACAGAAATCCACAGACTCGTTGTTTGTTTCGGATTTTTGTCATAAAAGAAGATTGTTTGTCTTCATTTGATGGTTTTTAATACCCACCTTAAAAATAAAGTAAAAAGAAACTATTTATCGATGCCTAGTCGCAATTAGGGGTAAAATTTATATTCTAAATGATTTCAGTCTGTCTTTATGCAAATAAATTTGAATAATGAATAATATGATCAACTTATCTCATGTATCGTGCTGTGATATGACGTATTAATACGTGTCGACAAGACACGTGTTAATAACGTCTTCTAAGCTATTCTTTATTGTTTACGTTTGTTTATATTACCGAGCAGGGCATTTTGAAAGATAAGAGTAAGTATCCTACCCTGACGAGGATGTCCTATTGCCAATGTCGCCTGAAAATGGTCTTCTCGAGTATTTTCAAACAGTTTGGATGGGAACACATAGCTCTTATTTTAGACAGATCCGATCTTTTTTCGCTGACAGTAGGTATGTAAATTATAATATGAGATTATATTATCTGTGCAAAAATTTTTAATTTAGTGTTATTTTTATCCCATTAACTTTAAACATTCACGTCTAACGTTTTAAAGCATGACGAGGTGGCCGAGTGGTTAAGGCGTTGGACTGCTAATCCAATGGGCTCTGCCCGCGTGGGTTCGAATCCCATCCTCGTCGGAAGTCGTTTTATGATTTTTTTTGTCCGAAAATGTATTTTTAATTTGGTTTCATTTCAATAATATTAATAGTGTTATTAATATTACTGAATTAACACTAAATATATTCATAAAAATTGTCGTTTTATATATTTCATCAGCACTTACAGCTTAAATGCGAGTATTTGAAAACTTTGCATATATGTCAGGATGGCCGAGCGGTCTAAGGCGCCAGACTCAAGGTTTCCTTGCCTACGCAGTAGGTTCGAGCGTTCTGGTCCACTCTGTGGGCGTGGGTTCGAATCCCACTTCTGACATAACTTTTTTTATATCAGTATTGAAAAAATATAAAAATGTCTGATCTTTTTAATAAAATTTGGAGTTTAAATTGGTTTAGAATGGGTGAAAAAAAATATTTAATGTTTTAAGTTTATAAGCAATTTTTTAAAGGAAATCATTGATTTTTATTAAGAATTTTAGAAAATATAAAACCGAGTTTTGTTAATAACATCTAGAACTTGTTAGAGTGCATAAAGAAAAATACTGGGTTCGTTTTATGTTTATTTTATTTAAAAGAATTGTTTTTTTCTTTAAGATTATTAAAAAAATGTAGAAATGTCTGATTTTTTTGCAAAATTATGAAGTAAAAGTTTTTTGAATGGATAAAGAATATTGATCGTTTTGTGTATATTAACAATTCCTTCTTAAGTAAATCTTTTTTTTATTATTAACCGTATTTAAAAAATACAGAAATCTCTTTTTCTTAAATAAAAATTATTAAAAAATTTTTTGGACGTTTTTAAATTAACAATAAGATTGGATTTCTGTAACAACCAGTTTCTTTCTTCATAAAAAAAAATTATGCCCCGGGTGAGGATCGAACTCACGACCTTAAGATTATGAGACTTACGCGCTGCCTACTGCGCTACCGAGGCTTGTATTTGTGTGTATTTATAAAGGTACACATTCAGTTCAAACTGTTTTTTACATGTCTAATCAAATCGATTAGGTACGTACCAATTTTACACACCTTTGTTTAAAATTTATAGGCAAAATTCTGGAACACGGCCTGAAAAAAAACAGCCTGCTAACATTTGTGCGTGAATTAGATGGCAACGAAAACGATACGATACATAATTATTTGCGAGACGCCAGCATGTACGCTAGAGGTGAGGAGCAAATTATCAAAAAAAAAGATGTATATCAATATTAATATTTCGTTCGCTTGGAATTACAAAATTATAAGTACATTGTTTGGAAATATGGGGATTTTCCCGTGACAAAGTTGTATGTGTCTGATTTTAAAAGCTGTTACACACAACAATTTATTGAACAATTAATTGAACAAGTTGCTCTTCAATTTATTTTATGAAGGGTAAAACAGAAATTGGAGTACAATTTATTATCTTCAATAAATTAATTGATCAGGGAATTGGAGATTTAGAACATGTTTATTAATTGATCAATTTTAGGGATATCTATCTTGATTTTATTTTAGCAAAACTTCCGTCAGTGTACCTACTCCAAAGCATGGTGATGCAAAAAATTCTATATTTGGAGGTTGATTTTGACTATTATTATAAGTTATAAGTATAAGGCAATTTTGAAGTTACAGTTTTTGGTTTCTTTTTTGTACAGTTATAAACAATTTTGTCAGGTTGTATGTGTTGTGGATAAAATTATATTCTGTAGTTCAGACATACCTACATCATGGGCGTAGCTAGAATTTTTGCTTGGGGTAGGCACAGGACTGCAAGATTTAAAATTTCAAAAACCTGAACACGTTTTGATTTCATTCTAAAAATTTTACGCACATGACAAACATAGTTGTGTGCTATTTTATAAACAGTTATTTCTAAGAAATATTCTTTTAAAGTGAATTTTTCTCAAGAAAATTTTCGATATTGAAGTGATTTCAAAAACTTTCTGTTGAAACATGATTATGTAAATTAAAATTGTAACTTAACAGACAAATTTTCAAACCTAAAATAAACTTTTTTGTACTTACAATTCTATAATTTCCGAGCTTACGATTTTACAAACAACTTGAATTTTTATATAACATTTCTGTTATTTTAGTTGTTATTTTGAGCGTAAGGGGTTCCTTGGTCAGGAAATTTATGCTGGCTGCCCATTCCCTAGGAATGACCAAGGGAGACTGGACGTTTTGGGATGTTGAGATATTTCAGGTAACAAGGAAATTCCAGATTTTCCATATTTTCAAAAATAACTACCAACTGTTTCAATCTACTACGAAGCATCATCTATCAACATTTTAGGGTTTTCTTACAGGGCTCTGACTGGGGAGACCACGACTGGAAGGCCGGTGAACCAGACGATCAAGTTGCTAGAAAGGCGTACGAAGCCTTACTCAGAGTGTCTCTCCTCCAACCTACCAGCGATAAATTCCAAGATTTCGCCGATAAAGTCAAAAAGAGGTCTCTGAAAGACTACAACTATACCATCAGCGAAGGCGAAGAAGTAAATACTTGTATATGACATAGTTATTATAACTGCATTTGTGATGAAGTTGCGCTATAAAAACAAATTAAAAATATAGATGCCACTTCCAATTTAATCTGAAAGCACCCACAGTAAATTCTATTTAGATTTTTAGAATGATAATAACACAAATAAAATTCTAAAAGTTTATGCATTTTTAACATTCCAGATCAATTTCGTTATTGGAGCATTTTATGACGGCGTCTCTCTTTTGGGCATGGCATTGAACGAAACCCTTTGGGAAGGAGGGGACATACGAAATGGACTTAACATTACTACGAGAATGTGGGACAGAGATTTCCATGGTATTTTATTCTTTGCTACTATTAAATCAGTATTTTCACCATTTTTCTATTAATCCTTCAAATAATGCCCTACCGATGCTCTTTCCTTTGCCAGCAGCTAGCGCCTTTATGAAAAATATTAGCTTTGTTCCTCGAGCAATCCAGAAACAGTTTCCAACAGTCCAACGCACGCGCATTCTTATATAATGCTCACTAAAGGTTAAAAATTCATTGTTTCGAAGGTTTCGAATTAAGTGCGACTGCATCTGACCGTTGGAAACAATTTCTAATGCAGTAGAAGCAGAGCTATTAAAATTTTTATACATCGTCTAGGCATCACTGGTCACGTCCGCATAGACGACAACGGCGACAGAGACGCTGACTACTCTATTTTGGACTTGGATCCGATAACGGGGAAGTTCGAGGTCGTAGGTCACTATAACGGTGTTAACAAGCATTATTCTCCGGTGCCCGGTAAGAAAATCCACTGGCCGGGTGGTAGAGAAGGGCCTCCACCTGACATACCGAAATGCGGCTTTATGGGTAACAGTCCAGACTGTAGAAATCACGGTAAACAAAAACTCATTCAAATTTGAAATAGTAGGTTTCGTTTTCAGATTTAGATGTAATTCGTTATCTCAAACTGCCGCCCCTACGTCTTATTCTTTCTACCTGAATGGGTTCTTTCTCAATATCGCTCAGTTAAAAATGCAAACTTACTTGTGTATTCATGTACTAGAAATTCAAAGAAAATTAAATAACAAGTACACAGGGTCACAAAAAAGTAGTCTTCAGTAATCAGCGATTGGAAAATAATTGAAATTTCCCCCATGGCACCATAATTCCATAACCTTGTAGCCTCATAACCCCATAGAACCCCGTAAAAACCTCATAACCCGTGGTTTGAATAATTTTGATTGCAAAAACTCACGATTACTGATTATATAATCAAGAAAGTACTGTTACATTTTTTTTAATGTAGATACAAAGGAGAAACCCAGGTAGTTGTAACAAATATGTATGTCCCATGGGGTTTATAGGAGCTTGTCCTGGTTTAAGGGATTATAGAATTATCACAGGTTTATAGATTCGATTCTTTAAAGTTTCGTTTTTATTCCATTTCACATATCTAGGGTTACGGGGTTATGGGGTTATTGATGCCTACCAACCCACAATCATGTACTTTCGAACCACTGATGAATGAGATTCATGTTCCCATAGTTTTATGGTTCTACACTCTCACATCCCAGGGTAATGGGACTACAAGTCAAGGGGTTACGGGTCATGGGGTTAAGGGCCATGGGGTTGCGGGATATGGGGTTACGGATCATGCGGTTACGAGTCATGTGGTTACGGGTTTGAACCATGGGCATGTCAATTTTTTTGTGGCATCTAAATCTAAAAACATTTTGATGTCCATATTGCTCTGATTCAAAAAACAAAGTAACTGAGAATGAAATTAAATTTTTTAATGCCGCTTAGAAGCTTATATGATGATCCTTTACGGGTCGTTTGCTTTTGGAGTATTTTTGGCGTTTACCACGACTCTAGTATGCATCACGTATAAGTAAGTAACAATAATTTACAAATTACAAAGAAGACCAATGATAGCAATTCGCAGTAAGTCATATTTATGTTTTTTACTATAGGCACATGAAAACCGCTGCCGATTTGAACAATATGTCGTGGAAAATTAGACCTGAAGAAGTAAACATAGAAGTTGGAAGACATTTTGGGTCAAAATTAGCTCTTCAGAAGCTTTCTGAGGTATATAAACAACAGAAACGTTTTTTATGTTTAGTGCTTTAATCGTAGCTGTAATTTTTTAAAATACATAATTTTTGGCACCTTGTAAAATGATACGCCTCTGGAATCACATTCTCCACGCGCCTTACCAGTCGCTGCCTTCTATTTTGAGATTAGAATATCAAATTTAGCTTTGAGGATGACGATAATGAGCTGTATTTCAGTAACGAATAAAATAAAAGTTATTTGCAGACTTATGGGCTCTCAAGTTGCAGGACATCTATAACATCTTGCAATTCTCTCCAAGCGACGAGAATCTACACCACCGTTGGAATTTATAGAGGCAGCAGGGTGGCCATAAAGAAAATTGTTAGGAAGAAAGTCGATATTAACAAAAAGCTGTTATGGGAAATTAAACAGGTAAGCGTCATCTCCTTTGTCTAAGTCGGCTCCTATGGAACTAAGAAAATAAAACTATCTTGCAGGCCCGAGACGTGACCCATGAAAATACCGTACGATTCTTGGGCGCTTGCATCGAACCGCCAACAATACTGATACTGACAGAATACTGCCCCAGAGGCAGTCTAAAAGATGTCTTAGAAAACGACGCCATCCACCTTGACTGGAACTTTAGAATGTCTCTAATATACGATATAGTCAAGGTTCGTTAAAATCTTAACTGTTCTATTTGAAATGTAATGAGTTTTTAACAGGGGATGAGCTACTTGCACAGTTGCGAAGTGTCTGTACACGGCAAACTGAGATCGTGCAACTGCTTGATTGATGGGCGGTTTGTGTTGAAAATTTCTGATTATGGGCTATCCTCTCTAACCACCCCTCTAGAAGTTGCAAAGGACAGCAAATATTATAAAAGTATGAACTGTTAAATATGTTAAAATAATGCGTTACTATTCTGATACTTTTTTAGAAATGTTGTGGGTGGCTCCAGAGCTTTTACCTCTAACGGTAATACCTGGAACTCCCGCCACTCAAAAAGGGGATGTCTATAGCTTCGGGATAATCCTGGAAGAGATAATAGTGCGCGGGGGACCCTACGAAGCAGCTCGACAGTTTCTCGAGGCTCATGGTAAATTTTACGCAGGGTGCTATCAGAAGTGGGATAACAATAGCATTCAATTAAAAAATAATAAAAAGTTAGAAATTGTAAGAAATCTTGACCAATCTGAAATTTAAAATTTGTTTTTTTGTTGGTCCCATCTCTAGCCATTACAGGGTTCATAATTCAAAAGTAATAAAGAATTCCCCGACTTTTCCAGCTTTTCCCTGACTTACAAAAAAAATCCAGGTCACTTGTAGTTCATTTTTACATACTAATTGGTGTTTATGCATTATATTTTTTCTCGACTTGACTCCATAATCTTTTTTATACCCTAACAACCTCTTATAAAGCCACAAAATCACAAATAGTTTTCTCTTTCAAGAACCCAGGATCAGCTTTCACAAAATTTCCAGTTGCAAACATCAAATTCCCTGACTTTCATGAATATTTTTAAAGTTCCCTGACTATTCCCTGTTTTTTTATGAAGAACAACAAATTCCCTGACTTTTCCCGGTATTTCCGGTTTTCTCGGCCACTATGAACTCTGTATTACTACAAAAGAAGTCAAATTGTCACTTTTCTTGTACATAGATCCTCGCTTGATATGACATGAAATAAATCCCTGCGGTGAGGTATGTAACCTATCGAAAAACATTCTGTGTAACGATGTGATGCCTCTACAGCATTTTGCTAGCATTCGCCATATTTTCAAATAAAATCTGTAGTAGAATCGTAGCTGTAGAATCAACAAATTCATTATTACCATTTTGCGGGAACTATTACTACATTAAATTTGGTTTTCAAGCACCATGACTCATAAAAAATAAAATTCCGATTTATCACTGTATTACACAACACTGTTCTACATTGGCTGAACCAATTATAGATTCAAGATCCCTTAAGGGATGTAATTCTTTTAAACGTAAATATTTGAGGTGTTAATAAATTTTTTATTGTCTTTTTTCAAAAACTTTATTTTTATATCCACCTATAAGGATCTCACTTTTAATGACACCATATATATTTTTATACATTCTTAAAGTGTACTTTTGATTTCACAGAGATTATAGCTAGAGTAGCAGCCAGAGAAAACCCACCATTCCGACCCGCGGTGACTTTACGAGACTGCCCAGAGGAACTTGTGGAACTGATGGAAAAATGTTGGAACGATAACCCGGAAGAACGACCACCGTTTGAGTCTATTCGTTTAAGTCTACGGAATATAATGAAGTGAGTCAAATTTTATTATTTCAAATATGTACCTTAAAAACACAATTACTGGACCATAGAGTAGGAAATAATTCTAAGCCAAATCATTTAAATTCAGGGGGTATTGCGAGAACCTAATGGACGACTTGTTAAGGAGAATGGAACAGTACGCCAACAACTTGGAAGTCCTAGTCAGCGAGAAGACGGAAGAACTGAGCCAGGAGAAGAGAAGATCGGAAGAACTGCTTTACCAAGTTCTGCCAAGACCCGTAGCCCAGCAACTCATGCTGGGTGAAATTGTACAACCGGAACAGTTCGAGTCTGTTACCATTTATTTCAGCGATATCGTGGGGTTTACGGCACTGTGTGCCAGGAGTACTCCTATGCAAGTATAGCAGAGTTGTTGAGAGTCGATGATTTTTTTGTTTGATCAGCCATTTTTCAGGTTGTTGACTTTTTAAACGACCTATACAGCACTTTTGATAGGATTATTGGTTTCTACGATGTTTATAAGGTAATTTGATATGATTATGCCCTGCGTTTTCTATGAACTTGTTGTGAGAAACACAGTTACTAAGTTTTTAACCTCAGAATCTCATAAAATCAACTATATAAACTGATTATTTTTTTTTTAGGTGGAGACAATAGGCGACGCCTACATGGTAGTGTCTGGGCTTCCAGAGAGAAACAGCGACAACCACTCGAGAGAAATAGCGTTAATGGCTCTGGCGATAGTAGATGCAGTACGATCCTTCATAATCCAGCACAATCCGGACTACCAACTGAAACTTAGAATCGGAATCCATTCCGGGCCCGTTTGTGCCGGTGTAGTTGGACAGAAGATGCCCCATTACTGCCTTTTCGGAGATACGGTGAATACCGCTAGTAGGATGGAAAGCACCGGCCAACGTGAGTAAAAAAATAAGTTATTCGACAATGTTTTCGTTTATTGCTCTTATGTTGGCAGCTTTGAAAATTCACGTTAGCGAGACTGCAAGACAAATACTCGATAAATTCGGAACTTTCGATTTGGAACTACGCGGAGAAGTTGAACTGAAGGGGAAAGGATTTATGACAACGTACTGGCTTTTAGGTAGTTCCGAACCAGGGCCTAGACCTCCTGCGCCCAAATTGAACAACATGGAACAGGAAACTAATCCGTATCCGCTGATATTTATGGGGTAATGTCGGTGGTAAAAAACAATGTGTAAGATTGCAGCTGTTGGGCAAAAGTAGCAAAAGTTATATACAGGGTGTAAATTTGAGTGGAGGGGGTCATATTTATATATTATTTTTTTTAGTCCTTTTTTCTTACCCTGTTGCTGGACAGGCTAACCTAGACAAGAATTTAAGTGGTTTAAAATACTTGACTATTAATTTGAATTAACAAAAATTTATTTTTTCGAAAACTGTCAAGAAAAGTTGACATTTTCGTTAAATTTGACATCTAGCTGCAAAATACTTTTATGTTCTAGAATGCCAAAGTCTTTCGTGTTAGAACAGGGGTCGGCAAGTAATTTTAGGTGGGGTCCGGATACTTTTGAAAATTTTTAACGAGGTCCAAAAAAAAATTCATATTACAAATTTTTTTATTTTAATTTGCACTCAAATTTAATCTGCTTACTAACCATTAAGAACTCAAATCAGCCACACAATTGTAAAATACTAGAAAAAATGATAAGGGTGGCACTTAAATGTAAAAAAAAATTTTATTTGAGTAATTTATACTTTCAACAAATTTTTGGCGGTCCAATATTTTACCTTTTGTGGTCCGGACCTGGACCGCGGTCTGCCAGTTACCGACCGCTGTTCTAGAACATAAAACAAATGTCGAAATAATTTGTCATTTTTTCCAAACTTATTTATGATTTTATTATTTAAACGATATACATTTTAAGTAATATAACATTTCAATACGAAACAGTAACTATTATAAACAGAACTGTTATAATTTATTTTGCACTACATGTAAATTAAAGTGCCGATATTGCAGTGAGTTAAAGAGTGACCCAAAATTTTGTCCGGTTTGTTGACCTCACGAATTCGATTCTAAATGGTCTAAACAATAGCTTGTGGTGATACTTTAGAGTAGGCAAAATTTTAAGTTGAGCACAGTTTTTGTTTTTAAGATATGATAAGTGACAAGTCGACCTATTAGTTGACTTGTTCACGCCAAGATGAATTCTCGGTACACTCGTTCATTGTGTTCAAGATTCTCAAATATACAAAGTGTACCATTTCCTATGTAAAATTTTTCGTTCTTTATGATTCTACCATTAGATTTTACCAAACACTTTTTTTTAATGAAGTACTGCCAATATTACAAAAAAATCTGAATGTTTGCTGAAAATATTCAATTAATCGGTATTTTTATACTGGAGACTTACAAGATCTCGATAGATACTCTAAACCTTGTATCCTAAGGACTTTCAACTAGGATAACTTGGATGTAAGATTAATAATGATGAAAGAAAGTGCAAAGTGAAAAAACTGTTTTCCTCACTTATTTGTTTATATAGAAAAGTTAGCTAATAAAAGTTTTTGACGCACGAGATGAAAGATGTCTTGTATTATGTTCCTTTAGACAATTTTACAATAATCTCGCGGATAGGACTTTTTTCTAGTAAAAATTTTATTTGCTTGGCCTATTATTATTGTTTTATTTAAAATATGCCAGTCACACACTGCTCCGGTACCCTGACACATACAGAGGTGCTCACACGATGGCGACTTCAATTGCTCTGATTTTAGCCGTTGGATTGCATATAATTTTCACAGCCATCTACGTTAACGAGCAACTGAAAAGTTACAAACCACTGTAGTTTTTCCATTTTTTCAAAATAACGATACCAAATATATCGTTGGAAAGCATAAAAAATACATTTTTTTTAGCTCATAGCTAACTACGGTTTACATTTAAAAAACTTTTAAGTTTATGTTATAACTTGAAAATGAAAGTGTACACGAATTTGATCACAGTCTTATTAACACTGCAAATAACTGAAACTTTGTAATTTAAATTTTTTTGTAAAATAAATAGCAACGGCATGTGAAAGAATTGGCCGAATTCGGATTTTTTCAAATATCTAGTCAGCCATGATGTTTTTTTTTTTTTAAATAAAAGTAAAGTTTATTTAATAAGGATCATAAAACTGCACATCTTTCCTCATTTAAGCTTTTTTGTATCTCCCCTACTTTCCCAGATCCCTACACTAAAGATCGAAAAAAACACCCTGTATAACACACTTGTGTTATTTTATTGCAGTTTTCGAAAAAATACTGTTTGCATCTCGAACGCGAAATACGTTCTTAAATAAAATTTTGCAAATAACTTACATTCTTGAACGCAAAAGTACCATTTAGTGTTCTTGATACAAAAATAACTATTGCATTTAGTTTTCTGGGAAGCATGTACTATTGTCCTTAAATAGTACAGCCATTGAAGCTTTTCACCCCCGAATTCTTTAAAACTGAACCGATCGACTTGAAATTTGGCAGATAGTTAGAGAAAAGGTCAATGAACATTAGTGACATAGGGCCGATCGACGCTTCGACCCTGTTGGGGGTTGACACCCCTTCGCGGGGGTGGAATTTTTTTTTTTTAAATAACGCTGGAAATCGATAGAGAAATCAAGTTTTTTATTCATGATTGAAGCCGTAATCAACCTACACATACCCAGCTAAACAGGTTTCTGTAACATTTGCCGTTTGGTCACTAGCGACCGAGGCGTTACTGGTGGCCCACCCTGTATAACTCTGAAACTATGAAAGATACATGAAAAATGATGTAGCTCTTTTTCAACAAATATTTTGCTTTTGTTTTATTCCTATAACATAAAAAATAAAGGAGATATCGCTGCTTGAAGTATCCATTTTAGTGAAAAAACGACCTGTCTCGAGCCCTTCGATACTTTCCGTTTAAAAAACAAAGGATTTAAAAAGTTTTATATGCAAACGATCTTACAGCTCTTGAAATTATCTTTAAAATGCTTTTTTGTAGGATACTATAGCTTCAAAATTAACCGAGATATGGTAAAAAAACCAATGACATTTTTACGGAGCAAAATAGGCTTTCTCATTTTTATATATTATATNCGATAGATACTCTAAACCTTGTATCCTAAGGACTTTCAACTAGGATAACTTGGATGTAAGATTAATAATGATGAAAGAAAAAATAATTGAGTAATCAAAATGTATATTAGCGATTTTTTAAAATTGATTCTATTGCATGCATACAATTATGTATCCTTACAACAGTTACCATAATATTAGATATTCTTTAAGAAAACATCATGTTGTGATTGACTACGCTTCTTGCAAGCAATGAGTTTACATTTACATCACTCAGATCATGTAAAATAATACGCAACTATTTTCTTAAGAGAATGTCTCTTCCGTTGACTCAGCAGCACCCGAATTCGGCAAAAAACTGATTGCTCGCCAAACCGAGTGACTTCTTAAAGTGTTTGCTATATCTTTTAAGTGGATATGTACCTAAATCCATCAAGATTTTCTGTTTTCAATATAAAAATATCTTTAAATCAAAGATATTTAGCAAAAATGCAAATTATTTTTTACAAAAATCTTTTATAACTTTCTTGTACTATATTTTTGGTAAAATATAATGACAGCGCCCACTTTTGGCACACTTTTAAAGCTTAGCTATGGTTTACATTTAAAAAACTTTAAGTTTATGTTATAACTTGAAAATGAAAGTGTACACGAACAATTTGATCATATTGTCTTATTAACACTGCAAAGAACTGAAACTTTGTAATTTAAATTTTTTTTGTAAAATAAATAGCAACGGAGGTACACGCATGTGAAAGAATTGGCCGAATTCGGATTTTTCCAAATATCTAGTCAGCCATGATGTTTTTTTTTTTAAATAAAATTAACATTTATTTAATAAGGATCATAAAACTGCACATCTTTCCTCATTTAAGCTTTTTTGTATCTCCGCTGCTTTCCCAGATCCCTACACTAAACATCAAAAAAAACACCCTGTATAACACAATTGTGTTATTTTATTGCATTTTTCGAAAAAATACTGTTTGCATCTCGAACGAGAAATACGTTCTTAAATAAAATTTTGCAAATAACTTACATTCTTGAACGCAAAAGTACCATTTCGTGTTCTTGATACAAAAATAACTATTGCGTTTAGTTTTCTGGAAGCATGTACTATTGTCCTTAAATAGTACAGCCATTGAAGCTTTTCACCCCCGAATTCTTTAAAACTGAACCGATCGACTTGAAATTTGGCAGATAGTTAGAGAAAAGGTCAATGAACATTAGTGACATAGGGCCGATCGACGCTTCGACCCTGTTGGGGGTTGACACCCCTTCGCGGGGGTGGAATTTTTTTTTTTTAAATAACGCTGGAAATCGATAGAGAAATCAAGTTTTTTATTCATGATTGAAGCCGTAATCAACCTACACATACCCAGCTAAACAGGTTTCTGTAACATTTGCCGTTTGGTCACTAGCGACCGAGGCGTTACTGGTGGCCCACCCTGTATATCTCTGAAACTATGAAAGATACATGAAAAATGATGTAGCTCTTTTTCAACAAATATTTTGCTTTTGTTTTATTCCTATAACATAAAAAATAAAGGAGATATCGCTGCTTGAAGTATCCATTTTAGTGAAAAAACGACCTGTCTCGAGCCCTTCGATACTTTCCGTTTAAAAAACAAAGGATTTAAAAAGTTTTATATGCAAACGATCTTACAGCTCTTGAAATTATCTTTAAAATGCTTTTTTGTAGGATACTATAGCTTCAAAATTAACCGAGATATGGTAAAAAAACCAATGACATTTTTACGGAGCAAAATAGGCTTTCTCATTTTTATATATTATATTATACAAAAAAAATAAGTAAAAAAAATTAGTGTGATTATTTATATGCAGCGTAGCAAATTGTTTTTATGATTGATTATATTTAAAAATCGATTATAATAAAAATATTTTACATTAATATTGGTAGAAGGGTAGTTTATAAGAGTTGAAAATGGCAAAAGTAAAATATTCTTTCATAAACAATATAAGGGAATTTTTATTTTAAATTATTGCACAATTATAGCATTCCAAGATTTAAAACGTAATTTTTTATCATTTTTTTAGCACAGGGGTGATTTATAAGGGTTGAAAAGTGTTATGAGATACAAATTCTTTCATAAGCAATGAGGGAATTTTTATTTTAAATAATTGCACCGTTAAAGCATTCCAAGCTTTTAAAAAGTAATTTTTTATCATTTTTGTCAATACAGGGGTGGTTTTTAGGGGTTGAAAGGGAAAAATTCTTTTATTAGCTATAAGGTAACTTTTATTTTAAATAATTGCACGATTTAATCATTCCAAATCTTTAAAAAGTAATTTTTTATCATTATTTTTTGCATAGGGGTAGTTTTTAAGGGTTAAATAAAGGGTCGAAAAGATCAAATATATCATAAAACATGTTCGAGAACATGGAACATTATTTAATCTTTGTGCTTGAACAAGATTTTTATCAATAAAATGCTTAAAACTTAATTTTTTCAATTTTTTTCACTTAGGGATAGTTTTTACCTCTAAAAAACAAAAAGCGTCAATCGGGCTTATGTCACTTTTGAACTTGAACCCAAGATGAGCCTTATTCTAAATTTTCATGCAAATCCATGCAGTTTCAAAGAATTTGGAGGTTACAGCTGATTTTCAGCTTCAATACTGTACTAAAAAAAAACTGACCACTGAAACTTACACCCTGTATAATTCAATGCTATGTGAATGGCACATGAGGTAATCCGTATTCTTCACAGCTTTTGTCCACTAGAAAAAAATTTGGTTGTTCCTACAGTGTCAAATTGTAATTACGTATTTTAATGTACCTGCTTGAACAAATAAAAAAATATATATTTATTTATCTAAGAATTTATTTTTGCAAAAACGAATAAATCGACAATCAAAAAAAATTCGACACATCCATAAATACTTAAATATTGAGAAACACTAAATACTATAACATTTAACAAAAAAAAAACAAAAGGTACTCGTTTACAGCTACCCGACAGTCATTTAAAATAACGCTATGAAATAAAAATACACATAAAAACAACTTATCACCCTACCGCTAAGTCACCCTAATAATATCAATATCAAAAGACAATTTTTTAGTCACANTAAAATAACGCTATGAAATAAAAATACACATAAAAACAACTTATCACCCTACCGCTAAGTCACCCTAATAATATCAATATCAAAAGACAATTTTTTAGTCACAATGTGGAATGTTTCTTACGTATCGGAACAATTTTACGTATAAAAAATATAAAAACTCTATCACATCCTATCCTAAAGTTTAACAAAAAAAAAAAACCTGCTAACTCTTCTGAGATTGCCACGGAATGTTGATTTTAAAAAATTACCTAATTATCAATTATTAGATCTAAACGTTCTTCTTATTAGTTGGTTCTTGAACAGGGATGGATTTCGTTTGGTCCCTCACAGGTTGAGCTACTGGAGGAGGGGTATTTTGTTTGGGAGGTGCCTGAGATGGCGGTGGTGGGGTTTGTTGTTTTGGAGGTGGAGTTTGCTGCTTTGGAGGTGGAGTTTGTTGCTTTGGAGGTGGAGTTTGTTGTTTCGGAGGTGGAGTTTGTTGCTTTGTAGGTGGAGTTTGCTCCTTTGGAGGCGGAGTCTGTTGCTTTGGGGGTGGGGTTTGTTGTTTAGAAGGTGGAGTTTGTTTTGTAGGGGGGGTTTGTTGCTGTAGTGTCTCCTGACTAGGTTTAGGAGGGACAGTCTGCTGCTTAGGGGGCGGAGCCTGTTTTGTTGTAGGGGGACTAGTAACAGGGCGGGTAGTGGTAGAAGCAGGTGTCGTTGAGGGTCTAGTAGTAGGAGGTGGTGTGGTGGTAGTAGTTGTAGGAGGTGGAGTCGTAGTAGGACGTGGTGTGGTAGTAGTAGTTGGACGTGGTGTGGTAGTAGTAGGAGGAGGACTTGTAGTAGTAGCTGTTGGAGGGGAGGTGATAGTTTTTTTCTCTGGAAGCTTGGTACTAGCCAAGTCTTGCCAGCCAACCTTCGATAAAGGTATTCTGGCTATGTAATCGTTAAAGGGAGACCCAAGGTATAGGGTATCTTTGGATACGAAAGCTTCGCAGATGTGATGAATTTTTTTATTAAGGCTATGGATGCTGTCCACAACCTGTCCAGACTTGTTCAGACGCACCACCGTTACTCTGGCGGGAGTGAAAATGTTTGAAAATGAGGTGAAGTGGCCAACCTGAAATAAATTTAGAATAGTTTTAATCGCTGCAACATAAGCAGAAAATATATTTTCTGATTATGGTAAAAAATATTCAAATTTAATTTATTTTTAAAAATAACGTCCAAAATTTAATTATTTATAACTGTGATAATTATCACAGCCACACACAAAAAAAGTTGGGTATACTTTTTATGCGACATATATTTTTCGCAGTAATTTGGCTTCCTGAACACGAATCTGGGGTCAGAATTGGCCCATCACGTCACAATTTTTTCCTAACCTCAAAAAACTTGTGAAAAATAGTGAAAATTGATGAAAATTTACTGGGAAAATTTGGAAAAAAATTTATTTCCACATCAAATAGTACATTTTTATGTAAAAGACTCTGCTGAATTCAAATCCACTGTCAGAATTGAGCTAGAACGTGTGGTTTTTTTTCTAACCTCAAAAAACCGAGCAGGAATCGCTATTTTCAAATTCTGAGCGGATTTTGACCAGATTTTGTATAAAGGGGTTTTTTGGGTCGCTGATTACGAATATGAATTCACATTGTAAAAATTCAAGATGGCTGATCCAATATGGCGGGTGTACTTTTTTGAAATCCACCGATTTCAGTAAAATTTGGCATCATAAGGATTGCTGGTTGATCTCACCTTCATTAATCACACATCTGGAGCCAGATTTTCATAAATCAAGGTAAAAGATTCCACTCCGTCTAAAAATGTGACTTCGCTTAAAAAAATGACTTAAGGACTCTACACATGTAATGATGTGTAGTGTGATGTGCTTGTTTCCATGGGACAAGACAAAAAAGTTTCTACTTTATTCTTTCATTTATTTAGTCGTGCATGGGCTTATGGTTTTCCAATCAGATTTTTTTAACTACTATGCAGTTTTCCTATGGCATTTAGATGCTTTTATTTCTTAATAATTTTAAAGTTCAAGGAAAAGGACACATTACTGCCACACAGCACATCACTGCATCTGCTTATGCCTTCAATCTAAAAATGTGACTTTGCCGAAAAAATGCCGCCTACTTGGCCTAAAATTATGACTGCCTACAAATTTGATTCCACCTGAAAATATGTCTCCGCCTAAAAATTTAACTTCGTCTATTTTTAATTTACTTAATGATACTACTTCATCTAAAAATATTTCTTGGCCTAAAAATATGACTTTCTCTTAAAAATTTGACTTCGCATGAACATTTGACTCCCTTTAAATGTAACGATAAGAAACTTTGACAATATCATGATCGATACCGGTACTTTTAAAATAAAGGGTTGGCGAGCGTAGCAAGTAGAGTGGTTTGCCCCCTTAGTACTTCTATAAATCCTTTATTTTATCAGTTATTCATTCAACATCTCGTATGATACGTTCTCTGGACCCCCTTATAACTGTTAATCTACCTTCTTTCTGCTGTATCTTGTTCTTTTTTCTGCGAATGACCTTCTCACAGATTTTCTGTCTGACCCTGTTTTCCGTTTTTTCCGATGTCTGATCTTGTCTCTTTGAAGGGACCAACAGGGACAACCTGGTATCGATCATGATATCGTCAAAGTTTCTTATCGTTACATTTAAAGGGAGTCATATTTTTAGGCCAAGAAATATTTTTAGATGAAGTAGTATCATTAAGTAAATTAAAATAGACGAAGTTAAATTTTTAGGCGGAGACATATTTTCAGGTGGAATCAAATTTGTAGGCAGAGTCATAATTTTAGGCCGAGTAGGCGGCATTTTTTCGGCAAAGTCACATTTTTAGATTGAAGGCATAAGCAGATGCAGTGATGTGCTGTGTGGCAGTAATGTGTCCTTTTCCTTGAACTTTAAAATTATTAAGAAATAAAAGCATCTAAATGCCATAGGAAAACTGCATAGTAGTTAAAAAAATCTGATTGGAAAACCATAAGCCCATGCACGACTAAATAAATGAAAGAATAAAGTAGAAACTTTTTTGTCTTGTCCCATGGAAACAAGCACATCACACTACACATCATTACATGTGTAGAGTCCTTAAGTCATTTTTTTAAGCGAAGTCACATTTTTAGACGGAGTGGAATCTTTTACCTTGATTTATGAAAATCTGGCTCCAGATGTGTGATTAATGAAGGTGAGATCAACCAGCAATCCTTATGATGCCAAATTTTACTGAAATCGGTGGATTTCAAAAAAGTACACCCGCCATATTGGATCAGCCATCTTGAATTTTTACAATGTGAATTCATATTCGTAATCAGCGACCCAAAAAACCCCTTTATACAAAATCTGGTCAAAATCCGCTCAGAATTTGAAAATAGCGATTCCTGCTCGGTTTTTTGAGGTTAGAAAAAAAACCACACGTTCTAGCTCAATTCTGACAGTGGATTTGAATTCAGCAGAGTCTTTTACATAAAAATGTACTATTTGATGTGGAAATAAATTTTTTTCCAAATTTTCCCAGTAAATTTTCACTATTTTTCACAAGTTTTTTGAGGTTAGGAAAAAATTGTGACGTGATGGGCCAATTCTGACCCCAGATTCGTGTTCAGGAGGGCAAATTACTACGAAAAATATATGTCGCATAAAAAGTATACCCAACTTTTTTTTTGTGTGTGGCTGTGTTATTTATGGAACAAAATATGATAATTACTTGCTATAAAATTAAGTGTCGCCTTGACTCTTCAATTTATATGCGTGCCGTAACAATTGAAATTATCATTCAACACATCGTTAATCAAATGACCGATTGTCTGAATTTTTAAAAAAGGCTAGCAAGCTCTGTTTAGTTTTTCAGAACGATAAACAATTGACACTTCGTTAGAGAATTTTTAAACTTTTTTTTAATACGATTGCTTGTTTTCAACTGACACTTCTATCGCTAAGTTATTGGATACTTACGAAGTGCATTCCTTTCTCCGCAAACTCGCACGGGTACACCTTGTTGATAACTTCGAAAAACAGTTGCGTCAACCCCAAAACTCTTCCTACGAGCTTCCTGATAAGGGGGAAGGGTCCGATGACTTGGATCGCAAACGGGTGATCGTTGTCCACGGCAATAAGTAGGGGCACTATGAAACCACCCTTTCCGTCTCCCTTAATATTGTCTACCAGCCCAGGTAGACCGTCCACGAAAATGTCGCTGGTGCCCTTCTTTGGGCCCTTGAGGTAGTAACGATGGATGCGACTCCTTAACGTTTCCCCCACCAGGACAAATTCTTCGTTCTCGGAGAGTGACACACCATTGGCAAAGTGTAGTTTGTCAATGAGGACTCTATTCGTGTTTGTCTTGGCGTCGTAATGGATTAACCTGAATAGGGTGACGGAACCAGAATTACTTAAAATACAATTAATTTCTTTCAACGGAATTATGTGACAAAAATTGTTAAAAATTTGAAAACCCTGCTTCAAAAAAACAGAAAATAAATATTGGCGTATTCTTAAATATAAAGAAAATGTTTTCTTCAGCTGATTTAAAATTGCGCAACCAGCTATAAATTTCTCTTCTTTTTATTTAATTCTGATTGTATGTCTTCCGTTTTATTTTAATTTCCTATTTGAAAACATAATTGTAATATGAGATCCAGTTTTTGACAACTTTTATTCAAAATCCTTAATTTCTTTCTATAACTTTTAACCAGACCGTTTTTTGACTGACAACTATTATATGGATTCTCAAATATATTTTTTTGGTTATAGAATGCGTTTCGAAAAGTCTAATTACTCTAATCAAATCAAAAATACAAAAAAAAAATTGCGTTTATTCCTGTATTCCGAAGATATTCTCTATAATACCCCTTTTCTGCTTTGTTGTCAGTGTTATGATTCTATTTTCAACTTTTAATTCAAACATTAATCTTTGATTAAAATGATCTACTAAAAGGAGGGGTTGTCAAAATAGGGAAATTTATGATCGATGTCAAAAAGCAGTTACTCAAAAATAGGTAAAATATGGGTTTTCAAATATTTTTTCATTAAAAAAATTTTCAGGTCATAAGAACAAAATTATTTTAGCAACTTTAGAATAATTGTTTATCAGATTCATAGCACATTGAGTTCAAAACAAAGAATTTTTGATGAAGTCGTAAAATCAAAAAATCTACCAAATGGTCGAAAATCGGCACAGTAACCCTACAAATGTAAAGATGAAACGAAAACTTAAAATAATACCGAAATAAAACAATTTTCAACTACAAATATTATAAAATGATGACTGAAAATTCTTGTGATACTTGCAATAATCAATTTGTTTTTATTGATACATAAAATCATTTAATCAGTATCCGTTTTCTGTTTAATAAAAAAATTATCTGTAGAACATTACAATAAACGCACAATCCCCTGACCTTTGTATCTTAAGATAGACGGCACAATAAAAGTTTTAAACAACAATGATACCATGTAAATGAAATATAACTTGTTTTTTAAAGTATTTATGCACATATAATTTTATCATTTATGAAGAATTTTTAATGTTTATAATTCTTGTTCAAATTTAAAAGAATTAGCTTTGTGACTCTTATCATGTTTAATAACATTGAACAAACATATCATGAATATATTACCAGAGAATGTGTGTTTTGTTATACCTTATCATTTAAAGCGTTGCTGACCTGTTTTTCTACAAGAATATCAAATAAAGAAAACATCGATGCTCCTCTAACACAGCTAATAATGCTGAGTAAAAGTAGATTTAATTAAAAAAAAAACTGTATTTTAAATTAAATTACATATTATTAGTGCTTTTCTGTATTCAGCGAATTTAATTTTTAGTAATTACAGCAATAATTATAACAAATAGCATATTTTATTTAAAATGAACTACCTGTTTATAAAGTATTGAAAAGCTAGTGTTTATGAATATTTTCTATAATCGTAACTCCAAGTACCATTTATATTTTGTTTAATAAATGCAATTTTTTTTTGTACATAGATATAAATGGATTTACGTTCATAGCAATTTCTATTCAACTGATGGAATAAAAGACAAATAAATTTTACGACTACAAGCACCAACAACAAATTTTCTAGGTCATGAAAGTACAGTTATAAGTTGATCTAGAAAGTAATTTGGCACGAAGAAACCTGCTTTTTGCATTTGTGGTGGAGAAAATATATGAAATTTAACTTTTATTGTACAATGCGAATGATTATGTAAATTACACGAATGCCACCTACCTCCCAGAAGGGTCCGACAAAAATTCAAAAACTCCATCTTCTAATAAAAATTGATTTGACGAGTCGCTCCAATATATATCCCCGTTACTCGCAAGCGCTATGCTGTTCGGTATTTTAGGTTTTTTACCATCAATTTCTTTATCTACAGGTATCACCAGCGTCTTCTCACCTAAAAAGAACGTGTATTGAAATTATATAACTATACAAACTTTTACTTCATTTTAATTACAAATAATTATTTATCATACTAACAGGATGTTTTTTTATTCAAAGTAAATTACGTTTTATTTCTAACCTGTTTTAACATTGACCCTGAATATGCCATAATAAGCATCAGCGACATACAACGCCCCATTTTTATCAAACTGCATGCCTAGCGGTCTGCCACATATGCGTTCTTCGTGAGGGCCTTTGCACGGCTTACCAGTGTTAACAACTGGAGTGATATGGTTACCAGTCAATTTAACAATATCTCCTCCATATAACGAAACATATATTTCCCCATTGTATTCTTCAAAAGCCTCAGGACCTACTAAGTCTCCCTTGTGCCATATCTCTACATCGTTTAATTTCTCATTTATGGCCAATTTTCCTTCCAGTGGTTTAAATGGAGAGACCCTGGAATTATATATTGTGAAAATTGGGATAAAATTCGGCATACTTCATACTTACTTGAAGGGCTCAGAAAAGTTTGTGTAGGGCGGAAGATTTGGCAAAACCAGAATTAGAACGACTATAACAAATATTTCAAACAGTCTGTGAGCGAAGAATCTGAATACTCCCTTAAACCCCATTTTTGTACCTGAAGTAAAACTTTGATTATTTATTGAACATATATTTGTTTGTTCATTTACCTATATATCACTACTTACAAGTCCGAATTCTGCACTTAAAAATTCACTTTTGAATTTGAATCGTCTTCCACATCGCCTAAAGTGCCTCAACTGTACCTCGTTGAGTGGATATATCGTGCCTCGTTGCTTGCTGTACCTCTAATTCTAAAGTCCAGTAAATATCGCCGGTTGCCGGAATATCAACCTTGAAAAATATACTATATACTAGGCACAAAATAATACTGGATGGTAGGTAAATGAACTCTGTTGTACTTGACGTCCACGAAACACAAATCGTGACGTTTATGAAAAACGGTAATTAAAATAAATGTCAAAGTGTCAAAATTCACAAAACAAGTACGTTAGGAATGGAAAACTGTAGAGGGGAGACTGGTGAACCATGATGATGGACCTATCAGAAATCTACTTCACATAGATTCATTTAATTAAGCAGAGAAAGTTAAAACTACTACTTTCATTAGATTATTAAAAAAATAATGTTTTTTGTAAAAACCATAGATTGAAGAAGAGCAAGATGGACATATACCATTACCATTAGATATTAGGTTTAATTGTTGATGTTGACATGGCCCACAATTTTCGGGCAAAGTTAGGCTCTAAACAACTAGAACTAGAGGACAGCGCAATCGACGCCATCCTAAGATCTAAGAAAGGATGCCTCAAAAAGGTGTGTCTTCTTGCTTAAACTGTTATAGTAGGTAGTGTAATAAATAATAATGATAAATAAAATTAGTCAAATCTGAGGGCCGTAAACAACCTACGAACGTTAAAATTTGTAGGCAAACATTAGTCCAATTTTATTGTTGAACAATTGAAAACTAGTTGTACTACAGCACTACATAATCTATCTCTATTATCTAGTGCTATAAGTTGTACATTGCGTTATAGTATTTTCTTTTGCGGTATGGTTTGGAATCATAGCCGACCGCTTTATCAATTTTTTTTTAAATTAACCAATTGTATAGTGTCTATATAGGTTCAAATAGTGATCTTCGTGATCACAGCTAAAAGAAGACACTATAGTGCAGGTTTAATCTGTTTTGAAATAAGTCCTCCACTTAAGTCGCCCAGTCGCAGAAGTTTTTCCACAGATAAATTGCAGTATTTATTTTCTCTATCTCTTCCACCTTATCTGAAATGTAACCATCAGTTAATAATGCCTGATACTTGTCTGCAGAAACTGTTTGGTAATGTATCACACATTTATAAACAAAACAAACGAAGTGCCGTTTTATGAAATAAATAAGAAGTTCTCCTTATCTGTCTTTTTCTTAAAAATATTTCTACGAGACTACCTTAATTTGAATTCATCTTGGACTATAATTTTCAAAATTGCAAAAGCTAGCTAATTAGTGGGCGACGCGCGAAATTTTAAATTATAATCCATAGAACTGACTGGTTATAAACTAGTTTGAAAATACATAGTATAAAATTTTCATAAATGGTTACAAGTCACGTGACCAATAATAATTTTATTTCCTTCATACTGATAATTAAATTTCGATGAAATTGTAGATAAAACTATTAAAAGGTATGGGACCAAAACTTGCTTATTAGTGTATAATGTGCTGCCTAACCGAGAGGCATATTTCATTTTGTAATTTGTCGAGAATAATTAAATATATTTTTGAAAATCATAAAAAGATGGCTTCATTGAAGGAATTTTAAATATACACATTGCTGACATGGATATGAGAAGTTTATTCCTTCATTACTGGGAGTATTGGGACTACATATCTGCCTTTATAGTTACAAAGTTAATAATAAAAGAACTTTTATAATAAATAACTACTTATATTCATCACTAATATCACATACAGCTATTTGGAAGCTCTGATATAATGTAACAATATTTATACATTTTTATTTCTCAAGTGAACTAAATTATATACAAGTTCTTTCTCATCATTTTCTTATTAATGAAAAATGTCTAGAATTTAAGTATTAGAACAGTAGAACTTATTTATTTACAAAAAAATACTCTTATTCATTGTCTATGACTTCCTTACACTTCAGTCACTTTAACTTTAGGGATAATCATATCGGCACGTAAAATAAGTCTATTTATTATTTACTGTTTCTCGATTTCAAAAATCTATCAAATGTTTGTTTCACCAATCATCCTGCTTCAATCTATATGTGTAATTGTCACTCCTTAAAACCTCTACTGCAGGTCCATAGTAGGGAATCACATATGCAGATCCATCTGCCGGCCCTACCACTTGAGTAGCTATTAAAATTATATCGATTAGTTGCCCCAGAAACATGAATCCCAAAGTGCAGAACTTGGCCAGAGCTATCGCTGGGTAGCCCAAATAAAATCTATCGACTCCAAACATTCCCAAGAAAATCGATAACAGCAGCGCTGTTTCAAAAGAGTAACCATTGCTGAAATAAAAAAGTAAACAATGTGGAACTGCAATTAACAAGTTACATACGTCCATTTGCAAGGCACTTCTTTAGTAAACGTTGAATTTCCTGTTTCTGTACAATTTAATCCATTCACAGCGATGCATGGAACTAAAAATAAACGTAACGTGAACTACTCAAAAAACTTAAGAAAGAATTACCTTTTGCTTTGTTTTCTTTGGTGCAACCCCTTATTTGTTGAGTCTTCGGGTCCACGAGATCGTAGCTTGGGTCTGGACATAAATATTGACCCATCCGTAGTATGTTACAGTCTACTTCGTAAGTCTTAACCATAACCTCCCCAAAATTAGAGGTAATTATTCCCGAAAGGAGTATAATAAGATTTGCTATTAACCTCATACTAATTTTTAATAAGAATAAGTATTTACTTTATGTTCATAGAATTAGCAAACAGCAAACTTTGATAAAAGAGTGAGGTTATATTTATAAAATAGAAACATTAGAAACAGACCACTGACCTTATAGATATAGGTTATAGATGCAACTTGCAACGAAGAAATGATGTGTTGTTGAGATAACGCCATATTGTTGGCCTCTTGGAAAGTTGAACAAAATTTTCGATGGTTGGTGTAAAAAATAAAGAAATATGGAGACTAACTTCTAAATAACAAACAATTTATACTCCGCGGTAGAAGTTATAGAGAGTGACTCATCGCTAGCTTTTGGACTAGTAAGGGGGATGAAGCGTGCCGGGAACGAAAATCCATTGGCGTGTCTGCGTAAAAGGCAACAAGATATAGAAAATATTGAAAAAAGATAATAAAACATAACATCTAATATTTTTTTACGGTTTGCTATTACCGGCACTTTGATCCATTTTAATTATTACAGCATTTTAAAACGTCCCAGTTGTGTTTTTTTAATTTATAAATTTATTATAGCCATGGAATTAGACCCCTCGTCTACGCTTTGCTATGACGTTTCTCAGGACGGCTAAATCAAGTCCGTTTACACCCACTAAAAAAGAATTTCCCTATTCCCTACCAAGTGCAAAAGTCAGAGATAGAATATAGATTGACGTTCAGTTCAGTGTAACTCAGTCTATAGACGATTATAGATTCTATCGATGTGCGTAGTGAGCGGCACAAAGATAAATAACATTGAACCGTTGTAAAAATCATTTTATATTTTATGCGCATTATAGTAATAGTGTATTAATATTAGCTCTGTTCGCGGAGCCTGTCAAATTAGTCCGGGATCAGTCAGAAGCAATCGTCCAGCTACTTTCTGTGCTATTTGTTACGAGCAACTGATCTCGGACTAATTTGACAGGCTCTGCGAACAGAGCTATTATGTCTTAGTCACTCTTTATAATTTCTACCGCGGAGTATAGCGTACAATCAAGTAAATCTATTAAACTTATCTTAACAGGCGTGTGTGTTTACCATTGACTTTATCGGTATAGATGAGCTATGTAAAACCAAAATGATGCTATATTTATTGGCGTCATGGAAGTTTAAATTCATATGTATTCAAGTATTAATTATCTAATAAGTTGTTGTATTTAAACCATTATAATTGCTACGATTAGTCTACATAATTTATAAATTATAGCTAATTCATCGGCCATGTGTTAACTATTAAAAGATTCTCACTTCTATTGTTTATTCATATTTACAGATTCGATTTTTCTCAATTTCCTAAAGATTTTGCGATTTAGCCTAGACTTCAATGACAAAAATAACATAACAAAGAGACAATATTACATGCATATTTCACCATTAAACTTTATAGTTCAGTGCAAGTAATCGCGCAATCATATTTAATAATCGAATATAGAAAACAATGAAACAACCAAATGGCTTTCGATTACACATTACACATCCTTCGATTACATATCGCTATTTTTGTGTTTAGCACACGATTGCTTATGATTTTCTAAATGCAACCATTTATATTGAAGATGTGAAACGTGAAATATAAAACAATAACAAGATTACGATTCCAATTGTAAAACATAATTTAATAATTTAACTTTACCTAACATAACTGAACCGCAAAACTAATTTGTTTCACTAATGAACAATGAACAATAAAATTCCATGCAGTTGACTTTTAGAATATCGATGCATATCTGCATCTGCAAACATATGGACATGTTTATTTTTCATTTTTACACACGCACACATAATTCAAACCTATAATTGCAGTTTAACGGAGCAAATAAGTAGATTTTTTATAGTAGTTTAGCGCGGAAGATCAATATTCTTGTTTGTTGCGTGACTGTTTACTTTTTCTAGGGTCATCAGTATTTTGTTATTAAATATTAAATTAATTAGTTTATGATAGGTATAGTAATTCTCGACATGACATAAATAGTAGAAATAATTGTAACCGACTATAGTTTAAATGTTTTTTTAATGATAATTGTAGAGTGAATTTATATGGAATATATTTGCAAATTTTTATCACATTGTGCGTTGTTGATTGAATACGGAAGCAAAACAGCACTCTTGTCTAGTAAGAAATTTCACTGTACAAGTTCAATGTTAGGTCATCAAGGTTACCTATAGCTCCAGGCAACATTCTCTGTTGGAGTGTCATCATTTGGATTAAAGCATCATTAAAGGCTATATTTTCTTGTTTTTTTTTTTGGATAAACATTATTTTGTATAAATTCTATCTGTTAAATGTTAAATAGGTATTATTTATCTAGGTTTCATGCGTGTTTAATTGATGTAAGGGTAGTAACGATTCATCTTCGAGGTCATTAGCATGAGATTGAGATGAGACCTTTGACTGTTTCAAAATATCACAGTCATGAAAATCGTGGCATTGGAGCTATACCGTCATTTGGGGCGACAATTAATAAAATATCCTATTAGTTCCACTAAACAATAAAAGTGAAACTATTAGCAGCGAAAGATTTTTAGGTCGCGAAATACTATACATTCACCACCAGCAAAGATCAGTTATTAGTATCACACATAATGGTGGCGTTTTAGAAATGGGATATGGCGGTTATTATCAATTAAACACCACAAATTGCACATCCTCGACGTTTGTGCTTCGTCGGATCCAGTGAAGAAAGTTTCGCGATTGATTAATGAGCACAGTTTTACTTGTTGCTCTAATTGTTCAATGAAATGTCCATAACTCGCATCCTGTATGCTCTGGTTGCTTCATCGCTCGTTTTCCATTTTATTTTTATCACTCGCGTGTCTAAACTGGCTCTTTTAGCACTACGAAAAGTCTTAATTGCAAATTGCAACTATTATTTTCTAAAAATAATAAGGATACACAACTGCGTAAATTTTAACTAAATAACCATTATTTACTAGTGATGCTATTTCGACTAGAAATGATCCCCCTCAAAATCACGAAAAGTCGTTCGAGAATTCGAGATATTGGTATACTAAATTTAGATTTAGGGCATTTGGATATTAATTTAGGTATTGCCTATTATTCAAATTCCACATGAATATCATCATTTCATCCTTAATTTTTTTTAATTTTGCGTTTTAATTGCAGTATCTGTCTTATACATATATGATTTATGATTTATGCCCATGTCAATGCAAAAAAAACATGACTATGGAGACTAAACAAAGAACACACACTCTATGTAAACAAATATCTTACAAAGTTAGAGGGCGCTATTGTCCCATATCATATGCACTATTGCACTACAGTCACTTATCTAGTGACTAATATGCACCGGAGTGTAGGTAAAGAAAGCGGCAGTTTGTTATACATTACATTGTCAAATGTTAATTTTCCCGTATGAGTTCGTGCTCCTTGTTGTTCTTTGTCTAGTCTCCATAAAGAATCAACAATCAACTACTTTAGGTTACTTGAAACTATACCTATAGCAATTTATGAATTTATCAGTGCAAATATTCATGGAAAAGCCCAACAGCAAATGCATAATACCTAGTTGGCACGTAAAAAATCAATTTATTTTGTAGAATTATTATATAAATAAAAATTCCAGGCCGATAATGTTTTCGACCGAAAAGAATATAACTATCCTAAGATGTTAATTTAAGAAATAGGTAGGTAGAGGAATTTAATTTCTACTTTCTTTAAAATAACTGGAATGTTTCTTCAGTCGAACTAATGATAAAAAAACTCGTTTAACGTGAAATTGTATGATGTTTGTTTTGTGTAGCGTAGTGGCGGTAATAAAAGTTGGGATATGATAATGCTACTACATGCAGTGTTATATGGTTCATATAATTTACTTTAGGTACTTGATCAATTGACATTTCACAGAAATATGAATGTAGAAAGGCATTCTAGCTCGTCACAGCTGTCCGCCAAATTCGTTTTACTTTTACATTTTTTTTAAATTTTAATTTAAAGTTAAATAATAATTTAATGTAAAAAAATACAGGTTAACTAAGCAAAAGTGCAAATAACGTTAGATTTATATGAATTTATTCCACTAGTACTGTCAAAACACAAAATAATTGAAATAATATAAAAGGTACCTACCTATGGAATCAACGTCGCCTTTGGGAATTACACAGATGCTTCAGTGGAGGTCTAGAAATTTTACGCATGTTTTGATTTAATCCGACTATTGTCAGAATTTTTTTAGTAGATAGCTATACCCACAGATCAAGAAAAGACATAGATAAATAATTCAGGGTATTTGTTTGAATCTCAAATGATTCATGTTTATATTTACTATTCCCCGTGTTGTGATTGGTTCATTTAAGTTTCGCGCCACTTTTACGCTCACAATACTCACATTTTGACATTTGCCAGAAAACTTGAGTTCGCCATTGTTGTGTTTCGTAGTGTAATCTCAAGGATATTTATAATACATATAAATATCCTTGGTGTAATCTAATGTTTTTGCGTTTTTAATGATTTCGTGCTTGTTAGTAAGATTTTTTCCAGTGAAAAAAGTGTTGAACAATGCCGAAGAAGTGCTGTATTTGCAATATGTACCAAATGAAAGAAAATCAACAATCGTTCCATAAGTACCTAAGTAACAATAATCATAGACGTAGCAAATTATTAAACTTGTTATTTTAGTTGCAATCAGCCCCTATAAAATGATACGCCACTGTCCATTAGGGAATGTAAACACAACTTCCTCACCCCTCCCATGAACTATTTTGGCTTCAAGCCACATAGGTATAAATTATGTATCTATGTCTTTTCTTGATCTGTGGCTATACCAAATGCGTATTTATTTTATTGCGTAAGAATTAAAGCAAGACACTAAAATTGTAAGGAATTATTCCCCAAATTTAACGAATAAATATTTAATTTTAATTTCTGTATTGCTAGCAGACCGATTAAACAGAAATAATTCTGTTTGTACGGATTATTTTTGGTACACTTTTTTGGCATGTCATTTATACAAACATTTATCACTGTTGTTATTTTTGCATAAAAAATTGTTACATTAATCCTTTCACTTTGTTAGGTTCATCGACATCAAGTTATCGCGATGGCTAAGGATTATTTAAAAATTTATAAAAACTGTGGATATGCCTTGAGGGATTTCTACCGGTCGGAATACTTTCTCTGGGCATCTGTATCGCTTCAGATTCCTATATTACCAGCCGCACCCATGAAGGAGATCGTTGGCTTCCAATCCAATGGTCCATACGTGAAGACCGAGATCGTTTATTTGTTTTAACGTGAAAGT